TTGGTTGCATCTGTTTGAGGCACTCAATCCGAGGTTGTCTCCAGCAACATTATTGCATTTCTCATCTTATTCTTATTACCAACCAACAGAATGGTCTTGCTACTTGTATTAAGAATAGAATGTTTGTAGTCAACAAAGAAAATATCACAGAAGAGAACTTACCTAGATAAATCCTATTCAAAATAAATATAGGGCTGATCTACTTAAATTTATAGGATAGTCTCACTTGTATATTTACAGGAACCTTTCAATTCCAATATAACGCTTACATATTAAACTTGTAACTACTAGTAATCTGTAGTGTCCTGTTAATAAACATTTATTCAGTTAGCGGTGCGGAGTGGACGGGTTCAATAATACAAATGCAAATTGCTGGCAGCGTCAATTGCGTCGGTGTCAATATTGAACAGGAAGCAAACCCACCGTATCCCGTTACTAGGCACTAAGGCTCATGTTAGGAACGGTTCGAAATACCAGCCCAGTTTTAAAATGGTGGTGTTATGTTTTCTAAATGAGCTTGGACTTAAGGGTCTGGAGTTTTGTTGTAAGTATACAAACTGCCATGAATGCTTATTCAGTGTGGGTGTAAAGGATTTTTTAGTCTGTTTAAGCCTGGAATTTTACAAGTTTTGTCGTTTAGTGGCGGTTATTGTAAGTAATGCCGTGTTTAATTTCAAACAAGGTATACCTACAGGTGTTTTCTTTTGTTAAAAATGTTTCAACAAAGGACGAAATTATAATAGGTACATACATAGATATGTAACTCCCAGAGATAAAGGACGGTGTCATGGTGGCCCAGAGGTTAAGGCGCCCGCTTCTCATGTGTGAAGGAGGTCCGAAAGCTTAGCAAGTACCAATGAAACTTTTTCCGAGTTATACGTACTTTATATAATTATTTATACACCACTGACACACGTTGATTCTTCACCAAGTCATACATACATTTTAAGTTCATTATGACAACACATACATACGGATTACGGAGAAGGAAAACATCGAGAGGAAAACTTAACTTATAATTTCTAATTAAAGATTTCAATCGCCAGTCTACGTTGAGAAAGCGGGGTGATTAATGTTCAAAACCTTTATCTGTGAGATAAGAGGCCTTTGCTCAACAGTGAGCACTTATAGGCTGATGCTGATGATAATGATGACGATGAGATATGTAAGTTGAGTTTCAGCCTAGTAATTTGTAATTAGGTGAGTACACAAAATGAATCAATTGTTTTCTCTTTACTGTCGTACTTATCTACACGACAGACGGAAAATAATAATATAATTATCTATTTCTAGTATTCAATTCAAGGTCAATCTACTATAACCCTGACCTTGTTCATTAATAAAATCTATTTTCATTGTGTGCTGATTATTTACACATAATTGGCGCCCAATTGGGCCAATATTTGAACAGAAAACAGAATTTTCTTAATAACCTATATTAAATATATTGTTAGTTTTTACACGTGCCGTAAAAGTACTACTACATATAATAAAGTTACATAAACAGTATTACCTAGATACCTATTTGAAACTTTAACTGTTACATTTCTTTTTAATAAAAGAGTAGAGTGGTCTTCGTATGGTACCTATTTCATAAAGTTTTGAACTTTCCCGCAATTTTATTGTTAGAAGAAAAATGTGTACATATAACCTCTTTTTCTTCGTGCGAGAAAATAGCAGAGTAGGTACCTATTATAGCGTACTTTGACAGTAATGTCAAATAACCCATGTATCAGGGATCGTAATAGGGACCGAGCCTATTGCCATAAATCAGGAAGCCACACTCAATTCCACTACATAAGTCATTCAATATCGAAAAAATGCGATTACTTTTTTCTAGGGCAAAAAGCTAGTACTTATAATCACTACATAGTATAAAACACAGACGCGTTCTCTGTCTCTATATTCCTATGTATGCTTAATTTTTTTAAACTACACAACGGATTTTGATGCGGTTTTTTAACGTATAGGGTGATTGAAGAGGAAGGTTTAATGTATGTATCCATAATAACATCTATTGATGGAGAAATTTTGAATCAACATTGCACCCATATAAAGCTGGGGCAGGTCGCTAATGGTGTAAGTTATAAAATCCGTCCATACACAACGGAGTTCTGAGGTAACAAACATAAAAAAATACAATCGAATTGAGAATCTCAACCTTTTTTTGAAGTCGGTTAAAAATGATGATGTAGCATGAATAATTCGTAATTAAAACCTGGCATTACAGCTTAATTGCTATCTATATATTACTAGTTCGTTTTACTGAACTAAGCGCCCCTAATTATTCTAATACCTACCTGTAAATGTATAACGTTGGATAAACCTTACTTACGGATTGGGTTACGAGTAAACCCCGAGAGAATATTACTTACCCTAATCACTGCGCCTGACAGACGGATTGGTTATCGCGTTACTCTAAATCTTTGGTTATGTTTAGTAACAATTATAATCACACACACGCTACGTTTGTATTGTACAGAGTGAGGTATTTACTATTACGTTTTAACAGAAGATTAAGTGCTACTTATGGTTTATAACTTAATAAGAATTTTGATAAAAAGGCAAAATATTGTTTTTTTTTGGGTATAAATTCGAAACAAAACTATCAAAAATTCAGTTTTCGATTGGATTCTAATTACTTTTGCTTATGACGTCTAATGTACCTGAACCTGTAACCTACCCACTTTTTTATATTCACCAATATTCACTGTGGCTACCTTTTTAATATTCAAAGAGTATTAACGGTATAGGTACCTATTATCTAAGCAGTTATTGCAAAGAAAAGGGTAAAATAAACACAAATACGAAAGGAAAATAATTAAGATAGTGTAAACATGTATTAGTTTACCCTACACTGGCAATTTGTATACATATATGTAGGTATGTGGGTCAATAGCCCTTTTGCTTTGACTACAGTAGTTACAGCGGAAATAATACAAATGAAGACAGACAGCCTTATCTCGTCCTTTAATAGTACTAACTTGAAAATACCTAAATAGATGAAGTAAATAAGTAAAGTATTAAGTACCTAGGTATATACCTATTTTTTTTTAATTAAACTTCAAGTGGATTTCGTGTAAGTGTGTACTCCACCCACACATTTGAATTTCTAATCTACTTAACGCAAGATAAGTGAAATTAATGACCCGGTCGACTTAACTACAACGGCTCAGGATACAAAATAAACGGGACGATAACATTTGTAATTTGAAATCAAGTCGGAAAAAGCACCCATTATTACGTGTCGCTACCGGGTTTCGGAAAAATATACGAACGCTTCTGTATTTCCCTAAAAATGGATTCCATTTTATAAAGAAATCTTAACTCGTAGGTCATATTTTGCCAGTTCATCAAATCCCTGTAGGTCATAAAATCGTTAAATAAAACACTAATCAACGCCCGCAAATAAATAAAAGTTCTCAACCTCGTAAAAACTACAAAATTCAATTACATTCCAGATGGCACAATCGGGACGAAACTCTTAACAAAACATGAAAAGCTCACAATATTTTTCCGCGCGGATTTCAAACGAAATTGTCATGAAATATATGTGTGTAAGTATTTGAACCGCTAATCTAGGAATTATGTCAAAGCACAGTTTTCAAATTACATTTACTAAACGTTTTATAAAATATCGTTATTTAGTTTAGGGTTCGATAAATCAATCATTTATAATTTGTAGAAACGGAGAGTGAATATTTGAAATTTTAAAGCCAGGACGCCATCATCATCGAATTTAATGGCCCCAGCATGCGAACGCCGGCACTAGCTTGGTGTTTGACAGAACTGCATTATGACGACAATTTTACGTGCAAACGATGCTTTCTTGGGGATCAAGTGGTATGATTTCAGTGAAACCTTTTTTACATTTACTGTATTGACTATATTTACCTACAACATTGAAATAAATGCGTAATTACATTAAAGAACATTTTATACTTAAACCTAAATAAAAGAAACCAGCTAACCGCAGTAAACCGCAATAATATTATTAGTCTCTTGCAGTAAAAATCTTTATAATACCCAAAATAAAAAGTAGAATAGTCATACATACCTGAAGCTCTGTAAGAGAAATCTACCATAAAAGTATGTCTGTATTTTATATTCATATAATGCATGACTACAAACGGGAACACAATATAGCATAAAGTTCTCAATGATAATATCTATCTATTACTTTATGAGTAGCATCTGCCACAACTTGATGTTCAATTCAAACAATGTTCCGAGAGCAAAATAATAATTTCACCGACTTATAAGGAAGTATCAAAAAACATACAAAATGATTCACTTTTAAAATTAGGCGGCAAAAATAAGTAGGAAAAAGGAGTGACATTGACATTACAAAAACAAAACAAAATCAAACTGAAACCACAGATAAATCAACCGGAACCATAGATATTCGATCACAACTATGTATGTTAAAAATTGTTAATACTTTCATAGAAAGGCATTTTTATAGGAGAATTACATAAACACATTTATTTAAATATCTTGACGATATTTATCGATTTCCTAGTGAAAATGTGACAAGTTAAATGTTTTGTTATAAAATATTGTCTATGATATAATGAACCAGTACCTACCTAGTAGAACAAATTTTAAAGGTTGAAACAAGATGAAAACGAAATATTAATTATAATGCGAAATGTTAATGATTTTCATGAAATGACAGGGCCATAAACAAAATAGAACAAGGAAATCGAAGGACAGGGGACGTCGATCATCAATCATAAATAATCCAATATGGCCGACTGCTTCCAATGGGGCTGTTCGCGGTTAAATTTTACAAATTTGCTGTTGTAATAAAATAGTTTCAAATGAGACTACATTGCCTTACATTATAATGTAAGTCAATGTACCTAATGAAGACTTTACCGTAAGTAAAGCGAAAGAAAAAGTGTAATTACAGATGTTATCCTTGACATGCCATGGGAAAGTTGCGAAGTGGCCTCCGTATTTTACTTATAATTGCTACTTACAATCTCAATTTGCAGGTATGCTGAAGATGCCAGTTAACTCTGTGACTGAAACGAAAAAAGGAGTCGACAAATCTAGATTTTCCCTGTCATTAAATAGAAATAATGCTACATATTTGAGCAACGAAAATAAGAAACTGACAGAGAACTCGAAGGAGAACAGTGACCCTTTAAAGCAGACTTTAAATAATAAAGAGAATAAACCTTTAAAAAGGCCTTTTAAAAGCGTATACTCAAATACTTTATCTGCTGCAAAGAGATTGAAGCCTCTTTCGGAGTCAGTAAAGCTATCAGGTATTGTGTAACTTACCGGTACTTAACGTCGCTGTGTACAATGCTCCGGTTATTTACTAGTTGTTCTGAGTACTTTATCGGGAAATCATGTGCTGTGTGAATTTTGTGAAACTGTTATAAGCTGACTATAAATTTCATATCTAATAAGAAAATTCGCATGTGCAAGCATTTTGCTAAAAACTTGAATGAATAAAACAGTTTCAATGTTTGTTTTTATTAATCAATAAGCAGTGTAAATTGTTTTAGTGCAATTACTTCATTCTGCAGTAATTATCATACTGTATAAAAGTGTAGAGGATTCTCAATTGATTTAACAATTTGTATAAAATATTGCAGCAAAATCATCTGACATAGAGTTGATACTCTCAGAGTCTCCCTCTGCCAGCACTGCCATGTTGAATGGCCACACATCAGACAATCAGTATGCAGGGAGCACACAACGCAAGACTCCCATTGCCACCTTGTCTAATTTGGGGAACACCTGCTTCCTCAACAGTGTGCTCTATACATTACGGTAATCATACTTTTATTTACATTACTGCTTCATATTTACATTTATTAGACATTTTTATTGTCATGTAAAGTTGTAATTATCTTGTCTGTTATTCCATCAATGGTTCATTGTGTTTGTGTTATGTTGAGCATGCATTATTATTAGAAACATTCCAAGATTTATTTAAATTCATAGAAATATTTATTTCATACAATTTTATCTGCATGTTCTAATAAAGTCAATAAAGGTTTACATTATCATAATTATTTAAAAATCCTGGAAGTTTAAAATAATTTTCTTTGGTGTTACAGATATGCACCACGTTTCCTTCACAACCTGCACCACCTTGTGTCGGACCTAGCAAGTGTAGAACAGAAGTTGGGCAGTATCCGACTGAAGAGCTCCTCTCTTGGCCGTAGTGCAGCTGGGTTGGCATCCTCTGGGACCAGATCTTGGAGCAGTAAGGACCTACTGTCTCTGGGACAATCTGATAACAATGCTGGAAAAAGTAAAATTCAGGTAATATTGTACATGGTACACCTTTTGCTTTTACACTTTTGCTTTATTTTAATGTGTCAATTGGTCTTTTTCTTACCTATTACTTCCCAGTATATGCATGCATGTAAATTTTTAAGAAGACTTATATTTAATAGAAAATAGAACTAATTCATTAAAGAGGATATTTATAAAGTGAACCTTATTTAATTATAAGTAAATTTTAAGATTCAAATCCTTTTTTTTAGTTAGGCCTCTTTTTTATTAGGCAAATAAAATATAGAGTAGATGAAATGAAGATCAAAAGGTTTCAAATTAATGAAGATATTTGCAGTTAGAATTAATCAAATCTAATCTAATATTTTAAGGCAATTCTTTTATGGGTGTAACTATCAGCTAATTCATCAGTATATAATGTTAACATAACAACAGTGATATTTTGTTGATATATTGTATAAACATGTCTGCTATAAGCCGAACGTAAACTTGTCTGAATTGTAACAAGATAAAACAAATTTGTTTTTGCATAAATTAGGTACTTAGTAACAGTTCAAAAGAAGTTCAGTGTTTTTGTAGCTCACAATGTGCACATTAGACTAGTGATCCCCAAAATATAAAGTTAGTTTTAGTTAGTTTTATAGTGCAAGCATGAATTGGTCTAAAATACTATAAACACTTGACAAAATTAGTCATAAAATACCTAATGTCAATAGAATTCCATTGTCAATTACATAGTGGATGCAATAAAGAATTATGATTATGATTATGAATTCCGAAAATCAATAATATTTTAGATAATCTTTCAAGAACTTTGTATTTATTTCCTAACTGAATCACTGAGCTTACACATAATAAATCTTTGTTTGGTATTATAATATTTGGTTTGCTCCTAGGTTATATTTGTTAGTCATTCATACTTTTTATCATAAATCAGATGAAGGACACAATTTATCTGATAAATACACAATAAATTAACGAAAATCAAATCTGGGTCAATATTGATTACATGATTATATTTCAGATGTAGATGTAGATAATATAGGTAATCTCAAACAACACTCGCATTGTATTTCCTCAAGGTCGAGTCCCTTTCTTTTCCTTCTAATCCATTTCTTTTCTTTTCCCCAACCCCCATTTGTTGTTTTTCAATAACTCCTTTGTTATTGCGGATGTCGATGCGGTGTGATGTGGCGCCGATTGCTTACTATCAATCAGGTGGTGCAACAATTAGTTTGCCAAACCCTAACATTTGCAAAAACAAAACAATTTTATTGTTAATGTTAACAACTCGACCGAGGGGGATACCATATCCGTGCATATCATCAGATTCGGTACTATGAAATGTGCAAAATTTTGTATTATATTTTGTACTTGTTCTTGTGAAAATATGGATGGATTGTGTGAGAAGTGATATGGAAGACAGAGGAGTTAGCGATAGCGTGACGAGTGACAGGACAGAATGGAAGAAAAAAACATATTGCGCCGACCCCAAATAAAACGGGACAAGGGCAGGAAGATGATGATGATGATTTTGTACTTGTTCTTATCTATTTCATATGACATTATCGTAAAAACTTTCAACATGTTTGTTGTTTTTTTATGGATTCTGTTGTATTAGTTTTCTCAATTTGACATTTAACCAGTAACAGATACTGAATTATCTCTAAGACTAATTAATGGGATGTACAAATTAAAAGGTAATTTTATTTTCAGATTGCCACAGAGAAACTACACGAGACATATTTCAATCTTCGTGCTGCGGAGAGTAAATGCCTCAACAGCAGCTCTGCAGATGCTAGTCCGGAACCCTATGCAGCAGATGCCTTCCTAGCTGCACTTCGAGATGTCAACTCAACTTTTGAAGGTATTTTTTAATATACAATTTTTGCTGAACAAGGACTTAGAAGGTAATTTGCCCTATGTGATAACTAATAACCTTACAGGCCCTTGCTTGACCAGTGAGAGGTGCACACATTTTTAAATGATATTGCTTATTGGCCAGTAGATGCCATACAAAAACTGTAACCCTTTTGTCTAGGAATATACGATTTTTACTTTATAACTGTTTAATTGAAGAGATTTTCAATTTCGTGTCAAATAAGTTTTGCACCTTTCTTACTCATGCAACAACTGATTCTAATAGTTATCTTGTATATCTATGTGACGGCATCGCTGTCTAACCCCTTTGATATCAGGAGATAAAGCCTGCATCTATAAGTACTGATAAAATCAATATTCATATATGAAAGTAAATGTGTCATCTTCTAATTCAATTAAGGTGTTTTTGGATACAGTCAAAACGGTATTTTACTATCTACACTACTAGTACATGTTAAAACAACTGATGCCAAATATTCTTAAAGGTGGCATAAAATGTTGTAACATTCTTTAACTAGAATAACTCATTTACTGCTCCTCCATTTAGTCCTGAGTAAACAACGTAATTATAATTGTATTTATCTATCCTCGACATTCTTGTTAGTATATAAACACAACAGAATATTATGTCATGTGTCTGGTAATAGATCAATGCGTGGTTTCGCAGTTGGTTCGATTCCCGCATGGAACAATTCTTTGTTTGTTCAACAAATTAATGTTCCGTATTTATATAATTTACTTGAATTTATATATGTTTGTAAACACTTCTGACACATTGCATATATAAGTCCTAGTGTAACTTTAAAATAATATAGATTCGCCCCTACTACATGAGGCTCATAAAATCATAATTATATTTTACTGGCGAATCGTGGAAGGCGAAACCGTCATGAAATAAATTGTGTAACATTACATTACAGGCAACAGACAACAAGATGCGCACGAGCTACTAGTGTGCATATTGGACAACATACGAGAAACATGCAGAGCGCTCAGCGCGCGTGCCAGCCGGCTGCAAATACATGAGAACGGGGACAGGTAGCTAGTTATCATTTTATTAGTTTGCACGCCAAACATGTATGTCATATCGCCCACGTGGATGCCGCCGCTGATGCATTGCTATCACTGAGATAAAGGAAAATTGTTTTTCCCATTTTTGTCATTTCCTGTCTGAACATGTTTTTTTTATAAAATCTCATTATTAAAAGAATAAGTCTGGTGTTACGCACATTATAATCTACCGCTGCTTGACTTTTTGTTGGAGTGACAGCATTTTGTTAGACTTTTACTGATCTATTTTTACACTAAATCCCTAAGTTCTCCCTTTCACTACCTCATCCTAAGTATTTTAGATTTCAAAATTCTCAATATTAGTAGCAATATAGCATACAAAAGAAGGAAGATTTTAAAACTCAAATCTTCCTTTTAGTTTTTAGATGTTTAGTCATTTGGATATTGGATAATCATGCTTTCTTATTTCATTTTCAGCAATGGAATAGGTCGTCAACCAAGTTTAGAAGGGGACAGTGGGAAACCGACGCTGGGTAACTTGCGCAAGTCGTGGAAGAAACGCAAAGAAGTGAAAGCCAGTGACAAAAGGGCGTCACCCACTGACGATCGTCCACCTTCACCTGCTGACCCAGAGAAAGACGAGAGATCTCGACCTGGGTGGGATTTCGTCGCAGATGATTTTGAAGGTAATTATAGAAAGAACTCACTTCATTTTCAGTTCTAATTATGGAATTATTTATTTTTATATTACCTAATTGTTTCCATGAATATTTGACCTATAAATATTGAGGAACCCAATAATTTGCCAAAGGTCTGTAACTTCTTATCATACTGGTAGAGGTTATAAAATGTCGCAGTCTCTATACTGTTTACTTGTCTCTGTTTTTTTTATAAACCATTATGTTATGTATTTCAGGCACAATGGTAGTACGCACAATGTGTTTAGAATGCGAAGCTGTGACGGAAAAAGCGCAGGCAGTGTGCGAATTGTGCGTGCCTGTCACTGAAGACGAGACTGATGACGAACCCTTCCGTGCCGCCTGCCTCTCCACTGAGTACCTGCGCGATCAGAATAAGGTACTTCCTTCATTAGGTAGATCCTTTGCATTAGTTTGTAAGATTTATCTTATGCAAAATATTCACAGGAACCGGTTTCCCCTAATAATTTTAGCCACCCATAGGATAATACAACAACACATGCAGTAATTAGCTCTCCTCTTTATACTATATTGTCTGTCCACCTTGTTTAATACGGTTGTTTCCAACTAGTCAAATTCAATTCTTTTATCCAGATGTCAAAAACGATACTTCTCTATGAATTTTGTATGAAAAACCGAGTTATGACGTCATAGTATTTTTGCGTCAAATAGCTTACTTATTTCTTAATAATTAGCTACAAAATATCTAAAACTTAGTGCATCGATCGATCGATGAAAAGTATAGTTATTTTATTGTATTGAAACGACGAATTATTTTATTTTTGACCTAAGAAACTACCCAATTTTATATTGATTTAATTTTGATTAAGTGGTCACCGTAAATGACTTCCGGGTGTAATATTGATTTTTGATACTACCTTTTTTCATTGGCTATCTAAAATAATCCGCAGTACTGGTGCGAGCGTTGCCTGCGCTACAACGAGGCGCGGCGCAGCGTGGCGTACTCCCGCCTGCCGCGCCTGCTAGTGCTGCAACTCAAACGATTCAGCGGCGGCATGGAGAAGATCACTCGCCACGCACCCACACCTCTACTTATGCCCTGCTTCTGTGAACCTTGTGCTAAAAGGCCACCAGAACAACCACCAACACACAGGTATAAAACTTTAAAAAAATGAGACAGTATATTTCTACTACATAGGTAAGTGTAGGAGGGCCATGCCTAGAAACGAACGGGAACCACAGAGCGTTATGTTTCGCCGTGTAAGGTGACCGGAAGCCCCATCCTTCCCCTACCCCAATCCCTCCCTATTCCCAAAATCTTCAAATCCCTAACCCCCCAAAAGGTCGGCAAGGCACGCGTAACTCCTCTGTCGTTGCGAGTGTCCATGGGCGACACTGATTGCTCAACATCAGGTATACTCGTTTGCTGACCTATCACATAAAAAAAGACATCATATTTATTCAATTTGAACACGTATTTACACGCTTATGTGTAAATTCCAGGTACATTCTCTGGGGTGTGATCATGCATTTGGGCCAGACACTGACGGGCGGACACTACGTGGCGTACGCGCGGGATGGCGCGGCGCTGGGCACGAGCGCGGCGACGTGCGGGCGCGAGGCGGGCGGCGGGGACGCGGCGGCGGCGGCGGGCGGCGGCTTCATGCGCGCGCTGTTCAGCCGCCCGCGCGCGCCCGCCGCATGCACGGCGCGCGACTGCTGCGTGCCGCGGCCCCGCGCCGCGCCCGCCGCCGCCTGGCTGGCCTGCGACGACGACTTGGTCAAGCCTATCTCCAACGAAGAGTTCGAGGACCTGTTGTCGGCCGAGCCGGAGATGCGGTCGGCCGCCACGCCATACCTGCTGTTCTACGTCAAGAGCGAAGTCGGCTAGTATTGCGTGTGCCCCTGTCCCGCCCTAGTCGTCGTTAGTAGTACTCGATGTCACATCCCTGTTTACCGATTTAGGTTTACACACTTTCCGATCCCGATACACCACTATGGATGAGATTAAGTGTACGTACACCTTAGATCAGATATGTGTTATGTGTAGGATGGTTCTCCTCTCTCGGAAAGTGCGTAGTCATTTAATTTACTCGTTCCGCTTCAGTTATGGGACGCCGGGCGGTTGTCCGACGTGCCTTGTGAATGTGTCGCGTTGATTCATTTTAGTTAGCGATCGTCCTGTGAACCGTAAATTGTTCGTTTAGATGCTTAAAAAGACATATAGAGGTATAGGTACGAACCGTGTGTATCGGCCTTACGTGATATTATGAGTGTAGCTAAAATATATTAGGATGTTATAGAAATCGATCAAAATATATTGTAAAGTATATAAATACATTCACAATATTTTCACTCGTTACAATCTGACAATATTGACTCGATTAAGGAAAAAATAGATCGAATATTCTTTCTATAGTATACATACTAATTGTATAACGACGTTGATTCTGTATTTAAATAGTATTTAACTGCGCTGATGGCGAAATTATTTATTGGCCTAAAATTATAACTAATTGTTCCAGAATTTAATGCCTTGAAGTTGCTATGTTCCCTTTTGAAATCATAGAATACAATCCATGGTCCAAACTCACTGCATGCCCGTCAATTATAATGTTACATATTTATTTAAATGCTGTTTTACAAACATATACTATTGATACTGTAAGAAAATGTTTTGAATGTATGTTTTTGATAGCAGCTTAGTAACAGACCCAAAAGGGCGTGATCAGACCAATGTGATTCTCTAGTTTTCATATCAATTAATAATATGTTACAAATGGCAATCCAATCTGCAGCAATACAATAATAGAATAGTAGAACATGTTAAAGGAAGGTAGAAATATATTTTTATGACATATTTTGTTAGTAGTTCACAAAATACAAGTAAAAACCAGTTAGAAAAGTCCTATACAGCAAAGATAGATCGTCAAAAATATAATTTGACACTATTTATTGTATTATAATCTTGTTGAAACAAACATGGAAATGATTTTCCCAGTCTGGATTATATTCAGCTGCAGCTTCAAACTTAAAAACTGCACAAATCATTGAATATTTACCTGCTTAAGAGTGCCTCGGTAAAATAGATGTTAATTGTAGTTATAAAGTGACCATTAGCTCCTATTAGATCAAGTAACATGTCAAACATTTACCTTCATTACTGTCAACTCCAGATCTTCAATTGCGCGGATTTGTTTGTCCGCTACTATTTCTATGCATATTTTTCAAAACTTGTTTGCACAGAGTAGTCAACAACAGTTAGACTTCAATTATTTCGAGACTACAACGATATTATTGCTTGCTACGAAATATGACTGCTTTCTTTTTACAAAGTTTTAAACTGTTTACTGTGCTATTGTGTTATGGGTAGCTCTTGCTACTAATAATATTGTGTATTTTTGTATGGCTGCTATAAATAAAGTGTATCTAGTTTTATTTCTATGTATATTCAAATTTGTATAGTCTGTTCTGGAAATGTAACTGCAGTGGTTTTTGTGTATTGGAATACTAATTTGGGTATGTTATGAAATGTTTGACAACTCAAAAACATTTGTGCAAATCTGTGAATGTATTTCAATATTAGATGATATGAAAGCATTCATGAAAATATGAAGACTACTGCAGACAATATTGTAATTTATTACCTTGTGACATAATTATGTACTGTGGAAGCTGTTACAATAATATTTTGATTTAGTGATTATGGGGATGGTTGATTATTGTGATGATGAATACTTTACCAAATTGTTTTTATTGTTTTTTACAATATCCAATATAGTTAAAATATACTTGTTCATTATTACAAGAATTGCGCCATCCCTTCCCTTGGCTCAACTTGGTACTCAAAACCGAAGCAAAATTACTTAATTTTATGTTAAATTGCGGATGCCATTCCAAAAACCTTTGAAAAAGGTACAATTCTTGTCAGTAGTTATATGACTTTGTTTTTATTATCGAACAAAATGTTATTATTATCGTTCATTTTCATTGTAAATTCGATTTGGATAATAAAAATAAGTTCAATGACTTTGTTTATTTTTATTTGACTAAGTTATAAGAAGAATAGACATAGTGGTTATACAATCCCAATATAGGTAATCAATTTCCCACGAATTACGCATATTTATCGAAAAACCTATGTAGGGATTTCCTTACCACACCACATTAGATTAACATAGGATTATCTGTTATCTCTGTAATAATACTGAAGAAGATATAAGTAAGTATAAATAATGTGAGGCAAGTTGGTAAGGTTTAATTTATTGACAGCTGATGAAGATAAGGGTATAGGTAGTTATCACTTCCAAGATAAACCGACGGGTCACCGGGAACAGTTCAGTGACAGATTTCAGTGTGTCAACGTGTCTCCTAGTTCAGTAAATATAATTAAATCAAAATGAAAGCTGTAGAATCGAGGAGTAGATTTTCAAAGGTATGTTATCCACATCTTCACAAAATACCTACAAATAATATATCGAGTCCATTTAATTAGTTAAAGCCACTTCAAACTGTTAAAATTGAAATATAAATAAGAAAATAATTTTATTACTTTTTGTCACGATTATTTAGAATTTCATTATACTTTAACGTAGTGGTCAATAATAATACTCTGAATATTATGTACTTGTAACTTTGACAAGCGACAAGGAGAAGTTGAAAACATTTTTGATACATTTCATTCCTTTACAGATTATTTATTTGGTTTTCGTTTTTTTGAATATTATTTCATACTCAAAAAATATAATATTGATTTAATTTTTTTTAACATTTATTTTGGGTTGGTCTGGTATTGACACCTGCAATTAATTGTATTTTTCCGGCTGGTGTATGTCAGATTATTAAGAATTTAAGAAGTGACGTTAAAATGGCCACCTGATTACCTAGTTGTCTATGACATTGGGTTGACCTCTAAAAGTCCTTGCATAGCCGCTGTCAAACAACAGACGGAAAACTGTGATAAAGTGTTTGTGGATTTTTATGTTTAACTGATATTTTGAAATCTTCTTAAAAATGGCATTTGTAAGTTATCATTTTAATTATCATACCACTTAAAAAGTTAGGTTAGGTTTTATTATTTTAACATTCTCGTCCTTTATTTTACGTTTACTAACCTGAGCTTTTATGACTAAGGCAGACATCATCAATTTTTGTTACTAAAAATTGATAATTAGATGATCAAACACAACTACTTCTTAATTTATTACACTTTCGTCAAAATAAATATTTTACACACGAGTAATAATAGTATTAAATCATTAAGTACTTATAGCATTTATAGGTGCTTTGTGTTTCACTGCCACTTATACCGGCCACTGCCATGTCTTTTTAACAGTAGCAAATATTAGAAAAAAAAACCTTAGAAGTATAAATGAACCAATTGTTTACCTAAAAAACGACAATTTTGTATCTCATTTAATTAAATAATCATGCAAGTGCCTAAGATAAGATAAAAGATTCTATTTCCAATAACCTACAAAACTTTTAAATGATACCAATATCTCTTTGTTGTACCACTTTCACAAAAAGTTGATACTAATACTATTACCTATTTACATAACTGTTATTTTTGTCAAGGTACTCCATATCCATTACCTGGTAATTAAATCAAGTTATTAGATTTCAAAAAAAACTATTATATACTATTTACCGTTTTTAAGTTTTTTTTTTCAATTATATTAGCAATATATGAGTGTTTTACAAATCGCCACTGTTTAAAAACTATCGGCAGTCAGCAGTATTGTACAACTGTACCTATTGTAAATGTAAATTTGTAAATTAATATTGTTATGTAGACATAAAATGACACGACACATTACAATTGAGAACTATGTCTTTTTTGTAGGCACAGAAGTTTTATTTATATTTTTTAACCTCTTTGTGTTTTGCAAAAAAGTTGGAACAGGTTAGTAAGCTAGCCCTTAATATCGGTAGTTCTCATAAAATAAAAGTGCGGGTTTGAAACCTGGCAAGTTCTAATGTGGCGTTTTCATAGATATACGTATGTATTTCCTAAGTTTATTCAGAAATCATTTAAGGTGATGGAAAACATTGAAAAACCTAGACTCAAATTATTTTATTATAAGTTTGGTATCGTAAACATATCATAATCAAAGCATAGTAATTACTTAATTCTCAAATTCTCCCCTTGCAGATTGGCTAAAGATGTAGGTATATGTATAATTTCTATTAAAAATACCTACGTAAAATGTTAATACTATAAAATGTTGTTATTAAATCTAAATATTTTCGTTGCTTCTATTGTAACTATCGTTGCAAAATAAGATCAATTATAACTAACACATCGCATTTTTTGTCGAATTAATTTTGCTGAAACTGTAACAAATACTAACAGGAATTACTGGAAAGTACATAATAGGAAGAACAACTCATTATTTAATACCTAAATAGACCTAGTTTACTAAAACTTATTAAACATTTTAAAAACAATAGCTCTTTCAAACAGATTATTTTGTGATTTCACATTAATTAATTCTGTAACTCCTACGTATACTACTACTTAATAGTAACTACATAAAGAAGTTTTACTTGAAAATTTAAGTACTAATTATGGACCAATATTATAAACTCGTTATTCTGTGTTAATATAGAAAATCAACTAGCAACAAAACCATTTTCTTATTTCAAAATTAACAGTACGAAAATGTTACTTACCCCTGCAAAAATTAAATACGCAATAGGAAACGGAGAGACTGTTACTAACCGGAAGTAAATGCTGTCATGATCAAGTTTGACAATTTGAAGGACTTGTCATCATTAGCATCAATGAAAATGCGGCAGATATGATCGGGTTCAAATAGTTGCAGCAGTTTCGTATATTTTGTAGTCCACACTGAAATAATGATACACTAGTACAATGCTTACTACACC